AAACCAAATACGAGTATAGGAAACGAAGAAATATAACACTTACTCTAAATGGTGTGGAACTGAGCCGTGTACAGAAGTACAAGTATCTGGGCATGTATGTTGGATACACATGTGAGAGTAAAAATGCTGAAATAAATCATATCAGCACCTTATGTAAAGCCCGTCTGCATCCTCTAAAAGCACTGGCTTTTTCTGGTAAAGGTGTTGGTGTACCTATCTTGCGGATGTTATACATAAGCACTGTTCGATCCCTGATAGACTACGCAGCACCCGTATTGTCTTACACAGGCCAAGGCAGAATTCAAAAAATAGAGCTGATACAGAACGAGGCTATGAGGATTATTCTTGGATGTCAAAGAAATGCAATGATTGAAATAATGAGAATGGAATTAAATTTACAGAGTGTGTGTGATAGAGTCCGTGACATTAACACTAGAGTATCTATTCGTTTCATGCGGAGAAAAGGAGGGGATAAGCTGTTTGAGAGCGTCCAGACCTGCTTGAGTGACGTACACACTTCCAGGAAACTGAGGGAGACTCGCTATACGAGAGGATTAGCTCATGACCTCAGGGAATACGACGTACTTGACTGCTGTAAACCCTCTCGAAAGTGTAATATGTCTGCTCCCTGGAAAGTACAGAAAATAGACGTCGAAATTGTACCCCTCAAGGTGAAAAAGATTCATCATGAACCGGGACAATTACGGTGTTTGTATGGAAGCATGATATCTCGGTTACCAAGAGGCAACAGTTTACATGTATATTGCGACGGGTCGGTGGCGGAGGATGGCAGGGCAGGGTGTGGTGTCCTAATAAGGGATTATACGGAGTTTGGGACTGTGGACAGGATAATTGAACTCCGGCTTAGTAATTATATATCATCCACACAAGCTGAACTGCAGGCCATTCTGGCGTGTTTGGAGGAAGTACGTCATGACGACAAAAATGTTTTTGTATTTGTCGATAGCCGAGGAGCACTGGAGTCCTTAAACAGTAGAAACCCAGTCTTCATGTCTATAGTGGAGGACTGTAAGAGAAGAATAACTGAGATACAGCTGAAAGGTTATAGTGTGAAATTCATGTGGATTCCATCTCATGTTGGAATAGTGCTCAACGAGGTGGCGGATGACTTGGCCAAACGTGCCACATCAAAACCACAAGTTGACATCGAATGTGAATTCACAATGAGACAAATAAGAAGCAAAATCAGAAATATTCAGGCACAGGCGGGAGTGGAGAGGAGAGAGATAATGTATGAGAGTAGTCAAACCATGCAACACTACATGTATGTGAGTCAAAACACCCATTTCACTTATGGTAAAAGGAGAAATGCTTGGAGTGACTCTGTGTACATGCGGCTCAGGCTTGGGTACAAATATTACTGGGAATATGGGATAGATGTTCATGGTAATGACACGAAGTGTAAACTATGTGGTATGTTAAGGTCTCACACCCTTGCCCATTATATTCTTGATTGTCCGTTGATTAGTGTATATAGAAACACTGAGATAAGGACTGTTCCTGAACAAATAGCCTGGATGTGTCACAACGGAAAGGTTGATGATATTCTTGAGAGATATAAGAATTTTGCACCAAGATTGTAATATTTTTTTGAATTATCTGCAGGTGTCTTGCAAATTGTCTATACAGTATACCTAGGTCATAAAAGTATTTGTGTGTACGTCTGATACCATACTCTTTGTGAGGGAGGAAATGTATATTTTTACCTCTCAGAATGTTTGGTAATATGTTTATTTGTGATGTGTGTATATGTATATATTAACACGTTGTACTGAACGGGGTGAGAATAGCTTGAGCTACCTCATCCCTTTGTGTGTATTTTACCTCAATAAACTTATTTCAATTTCAATTTCAATTTCAGGGCGAGATACCAGATGTGCTTAAATCGGCAGACAGCCCTTCTACACAAGGGAGCAAAGCATTGGCAAAGAATTATGTTGCAGTAACGTCTACATATTAAAAGTATTTGAGAGAGTGATCAGGAGTCAGGTCACCAGTTTCATGGAGACCAATGACCTTCACAACCCAGGCTAACATAGATTTAGAGCGGGAAAATCATGCCTCTCACAGCCAGCTACTTGACCACTATGACAAAATCACTCAGGCATTGGAAGAAAAACACAATGCAGACGTGGTATACACGGACTTCGCATAGGCATTCGATAAGTGTGACCATGGAGTGATAACACACAAAATGAGGTCAATGGGAATAACTGGTAAAGTAGGACGGTGGATACTCAATTTTCTGTCGAACAGAACACAAAGAGTAACAGTCAACTATATAAAATCGAGTCCAAGCTCAGTTATAAGCTCTGTACCTCAGGGTACATACCTTGCACCACTGTTTTTCCTTTATTCTCATATCAGATATAGACAAAAATGCAAGTCACAGCTTCGTATCCTCCTTTGCAGATGACACAATAATCAGCATGAAAACTACCTCTGCTGAAGACATTGAAAAACTACCAGCAGATATTAATAAAGTTTTCGATCGGGCAATATGATGTTTAAGTGATAAATTTCAGGTACTCGGATACGGTAAAAATGAGGACCTTAAACATAAAACAGGGTACAAAACACAATCAGATTTGCCCATAGTAAGAAAGCAGCATGTCAAGGATTTGGGAATAATGATGTCCGACGACTTAACGTTTAGGGAGCATACATAACCAAGCAAATATTGCGTCAGCCAGAAAAATGATTGGATGGATTACGAGAATTTTCAAATGCTGAGACAAGCTACATGCATGCATACAGAAACCTTTAAAGAGTATGCATTATGAAATATGTACACATGCATGTATACATCCAGATTAAACAAAGTGTGGCAAGCATAATGTGTGTTGAAACATAAAATAAAGTTGTGCCGGATGAATCAGGGGGGCGTATGGGGAGGCTTCACCGGACTAGCCGTCCGGTAAAGCCTCCCCATACGCCAGGCCGGCTGGAGTGCCCCCCCCCCCACTAAACCCGGGAGGGCCCCTGGGGCCTAGCAAGGCACCCAAGCCTTGGGCGGGAGTATGCTGGTTACCCTGCCTGTTGAGGGAATTATCTACGTTGCATGACTCCCTTCCGGACCCGCTTGATAACAGCGGGTGGCGAGCCATGCACGAGCTACCACTTCCCATGATATGCTGCTTGCCCAAATGGACTACTTATGCGGCCGCCCTGGTGTTGCCTTCCTTCTTTTAATAATTACTTTTAACCTTACCATACTCAAGGTAAGGTAAGGTTCATGTTCTTTATCAATGTTACTTTTAGCTGACAATTTAATTTACTGTTTAAGTGGTACATGCTTGCAAAACCACAAAGGACAAGTTCCTGAACTACGAGAGCAAATATCTAACCAGATACCACTAAGAGCAGTGGTGTATGGTAGGCAGAGCAGCACTGCCTACCACTCTCAATGGTGTATAGAAGCCACTGGTAACAGAACTGCCAAAAATTTAGACGATTAATGTAGTTCCAACTCAACAGACCCACCCAACAACCCTGAGTGGCTAAATGAGTGCTGGACACAAACCCCCAACCCAAAGCTGAGGCATCATTGGAGTATATAAATGGACAACAGGGTATAACAAAGGAGGATAAAAATGTTTTAAATAAATCATTACAAATCAATGGATATAAATTGAACAGGTTTAGATTTAAATATCTGGGTAAATGCTGTCCTGGAAACAGGGTTGTAGATCTACAGAACAAATTACTTGGTAACATAATAGATGTAAAATCGATGGTGTGTTTCAAGCATGGGTTAAGACATACTGGTATGTATGAGTTTGGAGTGGATATCAGTACAAGTTGCCTTGCATGGACCAATAGACCTATTGCAGTTACCTTTATTCTTATGTTAAAGAAAGTTAGTTGTTAACTATGTAGACAAATTTAAGTCCAAGAAGGCATTAAAGAGAGTAACAAGTAACTTAATGAGCCCCTTTTTTGCATATTTTATAAACAAACTTGAGCAGCATACTGTAGTTGTTGAGGGTTACAAAGCTGGTTCCGATTTTTAAGAAGAGATAGGTTGCTTGCTTTGAATTATTATTCAATTAGCTTAATGTCTATTACATGAAAATGGCTTGAATCAATAATGGCAACAGTTCATGTTTATGAAATTCATTTTTTTTCTAGTACTGTATATTTCAAGCAGTTGACAGTAGGAAGGAGTGCCTGGTTTCTCTTCAGTATTTATTTTCCTTATTAACTTTGATGATGCAATACACGTGTATTAACACAACCTGGAGTAGGTCACTCACATTCATTTGGAAATGTAATCAAGTTAATTACCTGGTGTGTGCAATGAATGTTGAATTAGTGCAGCTAAGTTGAGAGTAGTTAGGAATGTGACTAGTTTAACGACATCCCTGGTCAGCAAGAAGACAGAAAAAAAGGCAGCTAGAGGGTTGAAAGGAGTGGTAGTTGTCGTGTTCAAATGTAAGAAGCTAGAGTATTATGAATAAGAAAAATTAAAAAAGTCCTGCTTGAATAAAGATTTACAATATGTGAAGCATATTTGGTAGTAGGGTATATAAAATAAGGAGTGAAAATGTCATGGTATAATGTTCAGGACTAAAGTTGGCAAATACGGCAGAGTACCAAGATGGTCTGGTCATGATGCACAAATGGATAATAATGAAGATGGTGAATCATATCTAAGAGTAGAGAGGAAAGCCAAAGTAATGGGCAGACCTGGTGAATGAGTGAGGAAGTGGGTTAATTGAAAGGGTATTGAAAGGAATCAAGGCAAAGTAAGACAATTTAATTCCAGTGCGACTAATATATTTGTGTATACCGTAAGTAATGAGAGCTCTGTGCCTAATCCTATGAAATATTTTTGAGTCGTGAAGGATCTGATTGGCTGAGCATGATGGTGCTGGTTATATAAAATTCAATATATTGTGGAAGATAGTGGTAAATAAATGGGTGTCAGTCTGAATAACTGACCATGAAATTGGGAGATGGGATAATAATACTGCCGATAATGGTTGCACACGTACCCACATATTATTTCATAGAGCTGTACAAATTATATTTTCTTTACATTTGCTAGTATCCAATTCATTACATTGATAGCAGTGAATAAATATGTACACATACACTCTTACATATATTGCAACTTAATAACTCTGAATGATGTAAGTGAAAACACACTTAAAAAGCACAAAGTAGGATATGAGCCCATAGTTCCATCACCTAGGACTGCATCACCTCTACTGTTGGCACTATACGAGCCTCTGAAGATCAGGATGTCAATAACACATTTGTAGCCCAGATCTTAAGATTATTATATAGCTGAGTGTTCTTGGCAATATGGAATGCATATTTAATAGGAAATGAAGTTAGACATTTCATAATTATACTGAATGATATGAGGTGAGATCACTCACTAGTACCAAGTGGGATTTAAGGAAACATACGTTTCATTGCTTGGTTTCCATTCATCTTAAAAAAACTATCATCAGTTTATGGGCTCAGGATCAAGGCCATAAAGATCCTGATCTTTCAGAGTTTGGCAGAGTGAGAGTAGTAGATGTGTGATATATATATATGCATGCATATATATACCATATGCTATACACATAATTTATACATAGATTTATGTGCTATGATGGAATTAAGTTATTTATTAGCTGATGATCACACAAGTTGTGTCTGCCAGACACAAGTTATGGTGCTATGGTCTTTGCCTCAGATTATGGACATATGATTTTATGGTACAGTACTCCAAAGGTCATTAAAAGTATTATGTATTCAATATAAAAACATTATTTAGTTACCTTGATCTTAATAAACAAGATGTCAAGTGATTCCTACACGTTTATCCAACTGCCACGGCAACATGATTGGTACAAGTATTCACATTCAACATATAACTGCTAACTAAAAAAAAAAATCTGCTGCATTTGCTCTCTTGCCTTTTTTGAACTTGGGAGACAAAGTTGAACCAAAGGGTTTAATGTTCTTAAGTAATGACTTCTTCACTAAAATTGGAGATGGAGAAGCTTTAAGTACAGGGGCCTTTGGCAACAAACTGGCATTAAATGGGATCCTTGGACTAGCTCTCAAGGTGCGTGCATAATCACTAAACTCATGCTCTTTATTTTGCTTCAGATTAATACTGATGGTGCGTGCCTTCTGAGAACTAGTCTTGGACAATTTCTGTAACAGAAAAAAACAAAAAACTTTATAATTGGTCTTGCCAGCACAATATAATCTTACGCATTACAGATGATAAAAAATATTTGCATTTCTTAATCAAACAATAATGTCAAAGCTTGTTTTTAATTAGTGAATAGGTTATATTAATCATTAATTCCAAAACGATCTAAGTTCATTGATTTTTCCTTAGCAAATCTGTACAACAAAAAATATTTGTATATTTCCTATCACTGTCGAGGTACTGTACAGTATATCAAATGCACCTGAAAAAATCTAAAAAAAAATTGAACCCAGCTGCCATATTCTTCATTCTTTTGATTATGGCCCTAAATATGGCAGAATGCAAGAAAACCAATATGGTGAGCTGAATAGCATCTCCACCACTAATACACATTCCAGATACAAAATTTAGATGACTTGTTTTGAAATGCCTTTTTGGAGCCAAATAAATCAAAGATGGGAATCAACAATTTAAATCATTTTCATCAAATACCATGTTTTGCTTTTATGTCCCTGATAAATTTGTCACATTTACTGACAACAATTTTGAATTTTTAAATTCTTTGCATATCATGCCTGAAACAACAAGCAAAATTTTGTGTAATCTACTCAATAGAAAGGATTTTGTAGCTTCAAGCCAGTTGTAAATAAATAATTATGAAAAGCACTAAGACAGTCTGCTAAGTCTAAATAGCACCATGTAAGTCACAGATGATGACAAAATTCCCTAATTATCACTCAGGATACCTATGCAGGAGAAAAATACCGAGGGCTAGCAATACTGAAGAAATTGGATTCACTCAGGATTTAATTGATACAATTATGTTTAAAAGTCAGCCATAAGTGTTGACAAAACTAAAGGATTTTTTTTTTTTTTTTTTTTTTTTTTGCTGGTACACTGTAGTTGAAAACACGTTACATAGATTACACAAATAATTTTGTTAAAATTTTCTAATTAGCACACATTCAAGAAATGTTTTCATACAATAGATTCATTTAGTTCTTGCATCTAGTGAGCATTTATACAATGTCCTTTATCTGTTTCAACTACATAGATAATTCTATACATGTTTGTGTACAGTATTTTATATAGTACTTCTCTACACTTCTACTAATTTTCTTTACTACACATACCAAAACCAATTTCAATAAATTTTGTTTTTAGAATGTATAAATTATATCAATATTACTGGTTTGGACGTGATACCCCTGTAGTCCATGATCATTTTGATAGTCACATGCATTATTACTAAGGAAAAATACTAACAGTTTCAGGCATATAATGTTTGTTCAAAGATCACTTTTGTTAGGGACCTGAAAAGCAAATGTAGTACAGTATTATCTTAAATGACATTACTCCATAAATGACTCTTATCCTGACACCTGTTTGTAATTCTTACCTAAATTGGTGATGACCTGGATCATTCACAAGTTTATTCATACTGTCTCTTCATACTATGATTATCTGACAAATAAACTGCTATTCAGATGTATAGGATACCCATCTAATTTCTCAAATACCTCAAAGAATTTCCCATTCCATTTAGAAAAGATTTAAGTTTTTAACATTAGATTTTACGAGACTATTCAACTAATTCACATCTTTTAATTTTTAGCAAGCAGTTATTAGGGTTGATTCCCTTCAAGCTAGAGGTAAAAGCAAGGTATTTAAATACTGCTCCTGATACTGATATTAGAGCATGACGCAAGCTAGGCATATTAGATAAATCAGAGTCCCTAAAGAGTGTACTTAATGATATCTGATTTAAGTGGATTTATGTGAAACAAAATTTGGTTTTGTGGATATCTGGTCATTCAACTGTGTGTGTGGAATAAGAGACAGGTCTCCATTTCATCTGATGACCACAATGGACCCAATATTCAGGTGGGCTAATGGAGATTCCCATTTCTGGCTGATGACATGAGGGCAAATGGGAAACATATTTGATGGCAGAGTTTTATTATTGTATAAAGCTACCAAATTATCTCCCCATAATTTAATAACAGAATTAAATAGGGTTTGAAGGCAAGAGTGGATATATCATTTGTTGCTCAGCAAAATTAAACTTATTTGTACAGCATTTATTAAAAATTAAGACACAGCCAATATTGAATTTTAGTAACTAAGTGACCCTGAAAGATTCTATAGACAGTAAGGCACTAGCAGTCTACAACAATAACAAATGTCATTTGTTTTAGTAATACTGTACAAACCTCTCAAAGAGAACATAAAATCACGTATACTGTACTGTATATACAAAAGTGAAAGTTTCCAATGAAAGGTGACACACACATACAAAGTAAAGAAAATCAGTGGAAAATCCCGCACCAGCCACAGACTTTGAACCATCAGTAAAAGTAAGACTGAACTGAAATGGTCAAGGAAAATTTGCTATAAAGTAATACAAGGGGGGTATTGAATATGACTTTACACATCTATGCTTAGCAAAAATGATGACTGGGACCTTCCACAGTAGTCTGGTCCCCCAAAACAGCCTTTCATAAAATTTTTTTAATTTATTCCCCTGGCATGTTCTCATTCTTTACCATTTCACTATACAGTACAATACTGTATGTGCTCCTGATCAACACAATCACTTTTACATTTAGATAAACAAAAAACATTTCAGTTTCTTACCTTTGCAGAGTTTAACAACTTGTTCTTTTTATCCCTCTTAATCTGCCGCTTGCTCTTGATGAAAATCTCAAACTCTCCATCATCCAGAGGTTCATCCCATGGTGACTTCTGATTTTTTTCTCTGTCACCTGCAAGTCCACTTGGCTCATCACTATTTGAAAAATTTAGCACTAGACCCGAACTACCATTCACAGCATCCTTGGGTTCTATTGGCTTGTTTTTAGCAAGATATTTTACCGTTTCCTCTCCGCTATTGGATGCAACAGATTTGTTATCAGCAGCAACAGATTTGTCATTAGAAGTCTCACTGTTACCTTCACTGGGTGCTGTTTGTTTACCTTTAATACATGATGGTTTTTCACAAACATCATTCTTGGTTATTTCACCAGCAACTTTATATGAAATATCACTACTTAAACCTGTGCCATTTACAGATTTAGTTTGACTTACACCACTGCACAGTTCCTTACTTGATTTGCTGACATTTCTCTCTTCTGTATTATCCATGTCTGATTCTAATGAAACTTTATTTGGTTTCTCTCCAGCAGATTCCAGAATATTAGAAAATAATGCTTTTGATGGAGAATCTAAATCTGTGACAGTAAACGAACATCTTTGTTTTTTGACTGGTTTCTCTGCAATTTCTATACTTTTTCTTTTTTTCACATTAATTCTAGATTTGGTAGATTCTACATTAAAACCACTTTCATCACTTGGCAGATTTCTAGTTTTTTTATTGGCCTTCTGAATCATGGGACACACTTCAAAACCATGCATGCCTGTTGATACTTTACTTTCAGGGGAAGAATTATTGGAAGAAGTGTTGATACGCGGTATACCAGACAATGCTGCAACTATGTGCAACTTATGCTCTATAGCTCGCTTTCTGTTTAATGCCAATTCTCTCTCATGCTTATCTAGCTTTCTCTTTTCCTTTTTGGAGAGTCCTATTTTCTTCTTCTTTTTACCCTTTTTGGAAGCTTGAAGTTTCTTTCTCTTGGAGATTTTCTTCTTAAAAGTGCGTGTATTGGATGATAATTGGTCAATGTCGTCGTCATCGTCCTTCGTTTTCACCCCCTTACCAAGATTTTCATTAAATTCCTGAAAAAACAAAAAAAATAATATTACCTAACAATTATTTTGCATTAGTTTTAGTGCAATGCTGCACCTGCGCTTGCCTTAGTGCTTGATGGAATTTTTGGAGGAATTTAAAAACTAAGTCATGAGGATTATCCTAGGGTACACTCATAGATATACAGTATACTTAATAAATGGAACTTATATGCTGAGAATCATTGATCATGTTACTGAAATTATTGCTGTAATTGATATCAAATAGCTTAGGCTAACTGCACCTGCACAAAAGCCCTCCAGACAATGTTTATTGAATGTCAACATTGTTAAAAAATATTAACAAGATTGCAACTGAACTAAGAATGTATCCAATATATACCAAGACAGACAATAACGGTACTTCCCTGCACTGTGGGAGATTACCCCCCTTTCAAATAATACCTCCCTTCCAACCTATCAAGCAAATTAAATATCAACCCAAGCTTCATCCTAAGGTAAACTCAATGCCTTAAGTCAGATTAGTATTCTGCTCACAAAGCACTCCCCCTCTCAAACCATTAATGGTACCATCATACTGATGGTTCCCGAAACCACTGCAACGGTAATTACCCAAGTGTAGTTACAGGATGAGAGTTACGCTCGTGGTGTCCCGTCTACCCTAGCACTCTGTCATATAACGCTTTGAAGCTACTGACGGTTTTGGCCTCCACCACGATATTGACCACTTAATTGGTCAAAATCGTGGATTTCAAACATAATAGTATTGGGAAGAATTAAAATATTCCAGGACCATAAGTGTGTTGTTGTAGGAGTCAACCACATTAATAAAAGTGTAATACTAGTGTATATTAAGTAACCGATACCGAGATCTGAAAAAACCTCTGCTGTGAAAATGCATGTCTCTTCCAGCGTGGAGTGACAAAGGATACCTTACCTTGAGGTTACCTTGAGGTGCTTCCGGGGCTTAGTGTCCCCGCGGCCCGGTCGTCGACCAGGCCTCCTGGTTGCTGGACTGATCAACCAGGCTGTTGGACGCGGCTGCTCGCAGCCTGACGTATGAGTCACAGCCTGGTTGATCAGGTATCCTTTGGAGGTGCTTATCCAGTTCTCTCTTGAACACTGTGAGGGGTCGGCCAGTTATGCCCCTTATGTGTAGTGGAAGCGTGTTGAACAGTCTTGGGCCTCTGATGTTGATAGAGTTCTCTCTCAGAGTACCTGTTGCATCTCTGCTTTTCAACGGGGGTATTCTGCACATCCTGCCATGCCTCCTGGTCTCATGTGATGTTATTTCTGTGTGCAGGTTTGGGACCAGCCCCTCAATTATTTTCCACGTGTAAATTATTATGTATCTTTCCCGCCTGCGCTCAAGGGAGTACAGATTTAGGCTCTTTAGTCGGTCCCAGTAATTTAGATGTTTTACCGAGTGGATTCTAGCAGTAAAGGATCTCTGCACGCTCTCCAGGTCAGCAATTTCTCCAGCTTTGAAAGGGGCTGTCATTGTGGCAAGGAACATAGTGGACTGAAGTTAAAAAATAGTGAAAGCATCATTGTAAGCATGCTAGATGTGCATGTTAAAATAAAAGGAGCGAGATTCAGATAGGCACTTGTAGGTGAGGAGGGAAGGATGGTTGTAAAAACCAGAGCAGAGGACTTCACTTCCCTGCACCCCCACCCACTATGGAGCCCAACAAGGGAAGATATCTGTACAAGGGATATCCCAGGGGTATTATTCTTGTCAATGAATATTGTACGTAGGTAACCAGTGGAAAGTCTGTACAGCAACCCAGGAACCGATAAGGATGCTGATCACCCCCAATGCCTGCTTGACCAGGCTAGGCTCACCAGCCAGAATAGTAGATTTAGGCAGGAATGTAATCAGGCCTCAATGAATGTACCATTTTACCCCTACCCCTCTACTAAAGCCGCTTGTTGCACCCCTAGGAGAATGTTGCAAGGATTTTAAGACATTATTATACTGCTGAATAATCCAAGTTTATTAAAAAAAATATCTGTCATTACATCAGTGAGGATATTGCCACTATAATATCTGAAAATCGTAGGTAGTGGAAGCATTTTGTTTTAAGAGAATATCAGAGTGAATGAAGACATAATGCAACAAATCTGTTAATAGAGTGTAATTAGTAACACTATATTACCCCTACCAGGAAACAATGATGAAGTGCACAAGCTATATATGCATTTGTTAACTTTACTCTCAATAAGTTTATGGTTTGTGTTTGATCCAACCTATCATGATAAAGTCGGTATATCATTAGACAGATAAAGTAATTCATCTGGACCAAAGCCTGCACACACTACTAAAACAAAGCACCTGTAAAATGAATAACTTAACTTCAGCCTTACTCTGTCCAATTCTTCTGGGATTTAGCATTTTCAGAAATCAGAGCCCTAATTTAAAATCACTGTGAGGTACTTTGTGTAAAGCTCAAAAAATTTTCTTAGTGGCAATAGACTTAAAAGTAACAGATACACAAGCAAAGATAATAGCTTAATTGTCATACATCAGACAGACTTGAACAGAGGCCAAATTGGAACCTACCTGTAATCTTTCAATTGCCTTTTCCACTTCGATTTCGGGAACCTCAAGATTGTTAGCTACACGTTCCTTTGGGACACCTAAAGGATAAAATCCTTGTGCAACATCCCGCAATTCACTTGCCAGCTGGTAGATTCGTTGCCGATTTATCTTGCGTATTTTGGCTACAGCTCCTACACTCTGAAGTGAGTCGGCTAATAAATCTGTGGGTCAAAAAGAGATGCACATAAATTTATAATTTCCAAAGCAAAATACCTAGTGGATACATACTTTACTGTATTATCTAAAATACAGCCTGTTTAATATATGTAATGATGTCCAGCTCAGACTAGTCTGGATGCAATGAAAGAATTAAAGTTCAGTTAAGCTTAATGTTAGAAGCTTATCTGTCACCCCTCCAATATTTTCCAGTTTCCAGAACAACCTCTTATGTGAAACTTTGTCAAAAGCCTTTTTTAGGTCCAGATAGACGCAGTCAACCCAACCATCTCTTTCCTGTAAAATCTCTGTGGCTCGATCATAGAAACTGAGTAAATTCGATACACAGGATCTTCCAGATCGAAAACCATACTGTCTGTCTAATATTATATCATCTCTCTCCAGGTGTTCTACCCATTTAGTTTTTATTATTTTTTCCAATATTTTCATTATTACACTTGTCAATGATACAGGTCTATAATTGATGGGGGGTCTTCCCTGCTGCCACTTTTGTAGACTGGAACTATGTTAGCCTTTTTCCACATGTCTGCTACGACTCCTGTACACAGGGATGCCTGAAAGATCAGGTGAAGTGGAATGCTGAGCTCAGATGCACATTCTCTCAGAACCCATGGTGAAACTCCATCTGGGCCAACTGCTTTGTTCTTACTTAGCTCCAAGAGCATTTGTTTCACTTCGTCTCTAGACACTTCTATGTGCTCTATGTTGTTCTCTGGAATTCTTATTGTCTGGTTCCCTGAAGATCTTATTTTATACAAACACACTTTGGAACTTCTCGCTTAATGTTTCACATATTTCCTTCTTCATTTTCCGTGTATCTGTCCCCCATTTTCAACCTCTGAATATTATCCTTTACCTGCAGCTTGCTTTTAATGAATTTATAGAAAAGGCCTGGATCTGATTTACATTTGTCTGCTATACCATTCTCAAAGTTCCTCTCTTCTTACTGACGTGTAGTTGTTTCTCGCATCTTTGTATCGCTGGTGTGCGTGTGTAATTACCAAAGACATTCTCTCTTATATAGATTATATAACAATACTTAATACAAAACTTAAATCACAAATGAACACCTACTAAAGTTTGGTTTCAGTTGTGGTACACACACATCCACTTGTCCTGCTCTGGGATCCAGAGGTTCCTCTTCCTCACTCCTGAAACAAAAATTATAAAATTACTTACAGAAGCAATCAAAATATTAATAGGACATTGTTAATGTCAAGTGCTTAACTACCAATATCCCCCTAATCGATTAAACATCTAGACTTCTGCAACCCAAACTATCAAAATTATGAGTCATTCCCTAAGTAGTTATTGCATTCCAAAAACTTAAAATTACAGTAAAAAAATTTTTTAGGTATTGCTTAACAGTCAATAAAGTAAGGATAACCAACTAATAATTGGAAAAGGCGGAAAGCTGATCAGTTAGTACGGAAAGATTGTATATAAGGTCATCATCTCAAGGAAAGAGAACTCCCCCTATAAAAAAAAAAAAGCTTCAAGGATAAATATAGAATATCTTAAAAGAGAAGGTTGGCAAAAGACATGTAAAAGAAACTATAAAAATCAATCTGAAAAAATCAGGCCTTAAATATATGAAAAGTTGTTGCTACCTTAGGCAAGGTCTTGCTATTCACATGGACAAAACTATGCAGTCAGGGCAGGAATGTTGATTCTGCACTAGTGCAACAGGGATCTTTTCTATAGACCAGTAGGGTTTATACTCGTGCAAGAGAGACATTGGAGAATAAAAATGATATCTGGAAGGCTCATTCACATACTGTACTCATACTCTCATCTCGGTCTTTCTTTACTTTGTTCTCAGCACTGAGCTCTTCACTACTGTACTAACTTGTAGGGAACAGCGTTAAAGCTCTTTGGCAATGAAGGAGAATGAAATCCACCATCGTTCTCCAACCAAATCTTGGTAACCTTGTCATAGAACTCTTACGTTCCTAAAACATGCTTTATCCTCTCTAAAATCACTAGCGTATTTTTTTCATTATTTTTCCCAGCACACAAGATGGTGAAGCCTGTCTGTAACTTTACGTTAAACAATATACACATACTGTATAGTCAAAGAATTATGTAGCACCTCTGATGCTTCTTTCAATATCCATGGCCAAATCTGATCTAGTCATACTGCTATAATATTTACCACAACAGTATTTTACTATAGTACCGGTATACTAAAACGGTATTTTAATTTAGATAAAACTAAGCATTTTAAGTGCATATTTAAAATCAATTATGAACATAATCTAAAGTATGCAGTACTTAATAATAACAAGTTAAAACTTAATGCCCCCTTTCCCCCATGATAAATACCTTTCTACAGACAATTGTTGATTGTATTATTATACTAAACAAAAAATTCATCGAACTGAATCTGTATACTGAAACGAATGCAAATTTCCTTACCCATTCTCTGACTCCGCATCAGCCATTTCTTCATCTTCATTATTCTCTGTAGTAACAGCACTTGACGGACCCTCGTCATGGGCTACCCCTAAACTGCTTTGGCGCATAAGGTGACGAATTACTCCATCACTAACACTTCTGGAGTACACATCTAGCTTGGTCAAGGCTAGAACCTGTGAAATAAGCAATATTATTTTGAATTCCTACAAACATTTACCATTAAAACTATACTGGTTTTAATGGTAATGGTTAGTGGTATGGTTTATCTATGCCACCACATGAATGTGACCACATGCCCTTGTAGCAAGGGCATGTGGTCACCAAAAAGAGGTAAGCTTTTTGGTAAGGTAAGGTAAAAAGGTAAGTAATAACAATCGACTTGAGAATGGTCCAGGACGGACCGAAACGTCGTCGTCCCTTCACCTTCTAGTGTGTGGTCTGGTCAACATAATTTAGCCACGTTATTGTGACTCATCGCCTGCAAAAGGTAAGCAAGGTAAAAAGGTAAGAGTGCATGGATGAGTAGCAAGGCAGGCAGAACAGAACAAGAGGGGTGGTGTGTCTGTTCATATATACAGAATATTTTGTTCTGTAAGAAGTTCTTGTTTTCCCTAAGAATATACAATATAGCACACTCACTTTTACCTTGTTTACAAAACCTGAGTAAATGGTCTTGACATTTCCTCTCACACATTTATGAAATAATATTCTCTCTAACACTATTACTACACCCTGTATACAAAAATTAAAAGAAATAAAATAATGACCATTTTTTAATGGTAAAGAATTAAAATATCACAACAACTGCCAAGACATTAAGGGTTGGTATGCTACTCACACTATAACATAGAATTGAACAGATCAGTGTTCAATACTCTGTTACAATGTAATGGAGTTACTTTATAACTATTACAAAGTGTTCATATGACCGTTATTGAATGCTACTCCATTAAAACTTAGTGTTACAAAGCTAAAAAGGAGGATTGTAAACTTGAATAACATAATTTAATGGAATTAAAACATAATATTACACAGGAACAGTGTTGAAACCAAAACTGAAAAATTGTAATGTATGCAATTGTAATAATTAAAACAATCTAAAATACAAAACTCCAAACCTTGAAATATGGCTTCAAAATGGCCATTATGACCCGATGTTCCAGATTTTCTCCTCCAACCTTAGCGAGCTCTTCAAGAATGATGTCACAGAGATGAAGTTTAAGTCCTAATGGGGTAGCATTTACATTATCCTCAGGACATATCACAGCCATCTCCAAGATTGTAACAACTGACATCAATTCTTTCATGTTCCATTCACAGTTTCGTAAATACACAAACACTTGACGCACCACTCTTCTGACGAACTGAAAAGGAAAAAGGTGACACTCTTAAAACATTATTTAATAAAGAAAATTAATAAAACTGCAATATTTAAATTTGTTTAGTTACTTTACTGCACAACATACTAATCTTTTTCTTCCATTTCCTATACAGCATAACCTTGATTCAATAAATTATAAGGGACCAAGATCAATTTGTCACATTGAGGGCTTCATTACAACCAGAGATGCCTCCATCTCTGGTTGATGGATGCATTTCCCATGTCCTATGGGTTAATTTCAGTTAGCAAAATTTTTAGTTTCAACCTATAATAGGCAACTACCAAATGAACATGTCTAAAATATATTCAACTACATCTAGCTTACTTCCCATGTCCCCAGTCTCAAAACTCATTTAAAAAAAAAAGTAGCAGGGCCATACCCGAGTGAACAAAAATCATGCCAACAGAAAATGGAAACAAACCATAGAATTTGTTTTTAAATATTCTCAATAGTTCTCCCAAAGCTCCAACTATTACTTGTAATGTCCATGTATAAAAAATCAACAAAAATGTGATTGGAACCAAATTAAGAGTGTTACCATTCATACTCTAATATTTCCCACACACTATGGACTGATTTCACCAAGAGAAATTTTAATTTTACCGTCATATGAAGAACTACCAAAAGAACCTGTATGTAATGAAATTTAACTACATCTAGCATATTTCCCATGCCCATGAATTGAAATCTCTTTTTCAAAGGAATAAGGACCCTTGTAGTGAACAACACCAGGGAATCTCAAAATTAAAATGAATCACAGAAGTTGATTTTAAATACAGTATGCTCAATGGCTTTTCCACAGTCTCTTAACTATTTCTTAAGCAACATAAATATGCACCGCTCATCTTTGAAATCATAAAAAACGTCACTGCAAAGACAAGTAATATTTACCATCATAAATTTGCCAATACGAAATCCGTCAATTCCATTCCATTCACGAGCAAATGTCATGAAGGCTGCCTTGATGAAGCACTGGCAGCTATCTTTATTGTTGATGAAGTGAAAAAGGCTACTTATCTCATCTGCTAAATCCTCCTGCAAAAGACAATATAGGCTATTTTTATACTGTATATAAAATGAGAAATTATTCTTACATAGAGGGAGAGAATACTTTATTAAAATGACTCGCACTGATAATACAGATATTTTGTAATACTGTACTTACAGAAGGGTACACACTCGACATTTCTGAAGGAACCCTTCCAGTGGCTCCCTGCAGCAATCTTCCCAAGACTGCTTCACGCTAAGAGCTCACATCAGTCGCAGAGGCCGTGTGTGGCCTACTGAGGACCAGGTAGTGGCAATATGTCCCAACACATTTTGAGCTAATTTAACTGAATTCCTTGTTCCAAGTGACTGCTTTGCAGAGTTAACTTTTGTCGAGGCTTCGATTTCTGTGAACCCTCGTTGCCTGCAAAAACTTTTTTTGAGTTTTTGGATTTTGTTTTCCCCAGTGGGGTGGTAAACTATAATTCAATCTCTGCACATTCTGTGAAGGGGGCCAGGTCCTGATTAGTCCCCAGTATGCCAAACAGAACTTTTGCAACTGATGTGATTTTTGGCATGGAGCAATCTCAACAAGATAGCTTCAGGGAGCCACTGAGGTTCTACCAGAAACAGGTGTTTCATTACTTCCACATTAAAAGATGTATGATTCATGAACCACAGAACATTTATAGTGTTGATCATCCTTTACAGATGACACTAACATTTACATGGGAATAGATGTTCAGTTGATCTGTGCTGCATTTTGCCTTTACCCTTCCATTGCACACTAACTTCACTTCATAAAAGTTTATATGTTAGTTTATATGTTAATTTATATATTGTTTAAATCCTATACTATAATGTATTTTCAAACTTGTTACAATGCTTTAGTTAATTTATATTTGATTTCAAAGTAAAATTTTCACACACACCACTTAACTGAAGCACCCAATGTTTCCTTTCATATGCCATGGTTCCTCAGCCAACTTAGTAAAGGCTTCATCCAATCTAACATATCTACCAACACATGAAACAATAATACACATGAGAAATAAGCTATTACAGCTAGCTGTTGACCTGAAAATATAATGGATATACATCAACAGTAACTGAATATCAGAAAAAATAAATGCAACTTACCTGTATGAGGGGTTTATCTGCCATGTACATGCAGTAAAAAAGGCCCTTCCATATCTTTAGTGCATCATCATCAGAAAACCCTGAAAATGTGTTTAAGCATTAAAGCACAACCCAAAATCATGTATTAAATACAAATATATATATTTTTGGGTGACATGATAGAACACAAACCAATGGGTAAATCATTGGGTAAAGATAATTTTACATAGTCAGAACATTGAGAACATTGCATATTTTCTCGTCTTGTTCTTCACGAGTAGGTTGGCCGTTTTCTTGTTTTTGTAGTAAATCATCAATTTTATCTTCTGATTTTTGTCTGTGGGGATAACGTTCCTATTAATAATTAATAGGAACGTTATCCCCACAGACAAAAATTAGAAGATACAATTGACAATTTACTACAAAAACAAGAAAATGGCCATCCTACTCGTGAAGAACAAGAAGAGAAAATTCTTTTGGGGACTGTCAGCCCAGTCTTTTGGGGACTGTCAGCCCCAAAGATATCAGTATATAGGCAAGACAACAACGTCTCTTTCTAGGGGGATTAACAATGCACAAACAGGGCTCCATCAAGGAGCATATAATCTCCTCACACAACCAGACCATCACCAGAGAAATCTTAACAAGCAACACAAATTATCAATAGATACAGCGACAGCTGGAGACTCGAGATTAGCGAGTCAACACCAGCAATCAACAGTCAACACAATTAGATTCTACCCACTTCAAGACCCCGAACCAACACAGATGCAAGAAGAGAAAATATGCAATGTACCCATTGATTCGTGTTTTGACTAAGTAATATATATATATATATATATATATATATATATATATATATATATATATATATATATATATATATATATATATATATATATATAATACACACACGAGTTCTTACATTCTTGTAGAGCCACTAGCACTAATAGCATTTCGGGCAGGTCCTTAATCCTAATTTCTTCCCTGGAATACAACTTGCCAAATCGTTTAACAAGGTATCCATTCACTGCTGGGTGAACAGAGACAGTTAAAGATTGGCACCCAGTCAATCCTCCCCGGCTAGGATACATACCCAGGCCAAAGCACTTGCGAAGTGCCAGGCGAGTGCTTTACCACAGCGCCACGGAGACTGCTTGTTTTAGATTACTGGGTCCAACCACCTGAATAATCAGAGTCCGACCCTACAAGAAGCAAGACCATAGCTCCACCAACCACTTAATGTGGATAGACTAGACAATATAAATACAGTACATTACTGATACTGCTGCGAAGACAAATCATTTTAATTTTAAAGTATTTCATTCCTGCTACCGAGTTTGCCTGGCCATACAAAATTAAGACAAAATCAGAAGGCTATTCACAAATCAGCTCATTTCGTGAATGAATTTCTAGAACAAAATGTTAGCCCTCATAGAATAGTAACTGCGTGACTCGCCATATATGTAAAGTGTCTTGTATAGTGACTTGTGAGCCACTTGCTGAAGCACTTGTGATACAAAAAGATTATTGATATATGTACTTGTGTAAAATAATTATATATATGCACGTGTATATAATATTAACAATTGTGTAACTAGCTTCACAAGACTGTCACTTGCTAAATGAACTATAGGGTTCAGTTTCTGAACCCATTATGTGCCTCTGTAACCCTTCCCTCCACCCCCCACGGGATCGGTATGGGGTGCATAATAAAGAAATTAAAATTGAATTGGCCTCAGCATGACCGACCCCCTATAGGTCTCCAAAGCCCCTGAACAGACTTAAAACACGCAGCTTACCGCTTCCAACACTTGTTTTGACCGACACATATTTTTTTAAATTCTTGAGAGCTTTATCCCTAACTCTCTTTTCGTTGTCAGCAAGGCGCTGAGCAAATAATATCTCCTTCATGTCGCCCATGCTTGTGGTCGGAGCCACCACGGTAGGCGCCATTACAGTCTCGAGTCCGGGATAACATCTTCAAATTCTGCAATGTTTATCAAGTTTTTAAGCAGTATTTATACAATATTATATATATTTATAATTATTTATGTTTTATATATTTTAGACTAATATTTTAATTAGTGTTAAATAAACAGAAATTAGAGATTTGCAACGTTTTAAAAGATGTCAAATTAGTGTTTATATTAGTGTCTAAAAAAAAAAAACACTCTTTCTGCCGATACTTTTTATAATAATAATAATAATAATAATAATAATAATAATAATAATTTTATTCCAGAAATATATAAAAATAAAAACATGTTATAGAAGTATATTTGAAGATAAAGTTGTTGCATATTAAATAAAGCAACTAATACACAGTATTTCGACCAAAACATAAAATAATTAAATTAAATTATTTATATAGGTTTTAAGGGGCATACTGTTGTTGTGGTTGAGTGATGCCGACGGTCATGGGGTCGGGATGGGTCATCCAATAACGTTAGCAGACTTGTAGATGTTACCACTGCTAGGCTTAGGCTCGGCTACAAGTACCTCTGGGAATTTGTAACATCTGCTGATGTAGATTTGACTAAATGTAAACTCAACTATTCGAATACAGATATTTTGAAAACTGCAGGGGGGTTTGGACAAAATATAACTCATCGCCTTTTTCAGTAATTGGCATATTTTGGGTATAAAAAGTCGTAATTTGAAACTGCAAATTGGTGCAGAGAGCCAGAATTCGGCTCAAAAATGACGCTCAGAAGTCAAATTTCCGACGTTTCAGATATTTTGAAAACTGCAGGGGGGTTTGGGCAAAATATGACCCATCGCCCTTTTCAGTAATTAGCATATTTTCGGTATAAAAAGTCGTAATTTGAAACTACAAATAGGTGCAGAGAGCCAGAAATCGGCTCAAAAATGACACTCAGGAGTTAAATTTTTGACATTTCAGATATTTCGAAAACTGCAGGGGGGTTTGGGCAAAATATGACCCATCGCTGTTTTCAATAATTGGCATATTTTCGATATATAAAGTCGTAATTTGAAACTGCAAATAGGTGCAGAGAGCCAGAACTCGGCTCAAAAATGACGCTCAGGAGTCAAATTTCCGACGTTTCAGATATTTTGAAAACTGCAGGGGGGTTTGGGCACAATATGACCCATCGCCGTTTTCAGTAATTTCCATATATTTTCGGTATATAAAGTCGTAATTTGAAACGGCAAATAGGTGCAGAAAGCCAGAATTCGGCTCTGCATGTACCATTATGATGTAATATTTCGAAAAAAAAATAATGAAAAATAATGAAAAATAATAATAATAATATTAATAATAATAATAATATTAATAATAATAATAATAATATTATTATTATTAATAATAACAATAATGGGAAAGTCCGTAGGAGACGTGATGAGGGTACAAACCTATGCGGTGAGTGTTCCCACTCACATGCCCTAGTCAACTTGGCCCTGACATGGTAAAAGGATTGCAACCTGGAGTTCTACACCCACCGCAAAAGTTCGAACCCTCACCACGGCTCTTATGGATTTTCTCATTGACACATCACATTACAGGTGTAGTTGATTACTATGTGTAGTAATAATAATAATAATAATAATAATCACACAGAAATCATATTAATGTGCTATATATCAATGAGAAAATATACTAGGGCAATTGCCCTAGTAGATTTTCTCATTGATATATATATATATATATATATATATATATATATATATATATATATATATATATATATATATATATATATATATATATATATATAGATATACATTAATGTGATTTCTGTGATTCTGAAGTTGGGGCATAAAATGTAGGACCACTCTGTCCTTCCACCAGAGTGCTTGTGGGTCATATATAAAACCTGGACTGGCTTCAGTAGGAGCCTCCAGACTTCCTGTGATTTCAGTAGAAATCTGGTTGTATGACTGGTACAGTTCATTGGTGGTCTAGTGGTAGAGTATACGGCTTGGCAATGCCAAAGTCGTAGGTTCGTGCCCACCTCATTGCCCTAGTGAATTTTCTCAACAATCATAATAATTTTTATTTAGACAAAAGTACATACATACATAAGATACAAGAACAGTGTAGGATTCCTAGGTAAGGCAAGTACTATGTTTAAAATCACTTGCTTCCTGTGCCTCTTCAAGGGGGGGCCAGGTTCTGGCTTTGTTCTCTGGTAGGCCAACAGGATGCTTGTGCCTGATGTGGTTTAGTATTGCGAAGCAATCTCAGTGATACAGCTTCAGGAAGCCTCCGGGTCTCCAAGATAATTTTAATATGGTCTCATTACATTCAATGCTTGTGTTTTTTTCAGCAGCATTGGGGAAGTTTGAGTGAGTAACTGTTATGACTTTATTTGTTATAATGTAGGAGAATAAATTTTTCATTTAGTGCTTGTTAGTTTCTTACATGTGTTTGAAGCTGTTGTTCCTTGTTTCTTCAAATATGCTGCATACATTGTAAAACTGATTTTCCCCCTGTCATTGAAAGTCACTAATAATACTTCTGCATTTTATGAGTGCCCAGGCAGTCACAGTCCTTTAGTTTCCTTCTAAAATGGCTAACTACATTTCAGTCAGTCTTTCTTCTGGTAGCTCTACGAACTGTGGGTTTATGTGCAACTCTGGTTCGAGCTTTAAAACTTTCTTATAATCAATTAAACTGATGTCTTGTGAGACATGGATATAATGTGCAGTATAATAAAAGACAGGACATCTGTAAAATGTTTTATGTTGATGACAAGTAAACATACATATATCAAATACAGTATATGTCATCCACAAAAGAGATTCTTTGGCGATTAATATGGTTGACAAAAATACTGTAAGAATGCTCTTTTAATGTACTGTATTGAACTGTTTTGTGCTTTTAAAATTCTCTCTAATATCTGAGGTGGTAATTAATCAAGTAGAAAATTCTAAAATAATGTTTCACATTACTTGTACTAACCAGCTTGATTATGTCATGAATAATACAATAGGCTATGCACCTGACAAAGAAAGACATGCAGTAATATTTCATAAAGCATAAGTTTAGCATCTGCCTTCATTTTATGTACCTCCTAGTGAGTGTAACTTTATACATAGCTATTTTCACTTGCTGTGCCAAAATGTTACTTTTGTCACAATTATAACATTTTGCTCATAAAAGACAAAACATGTGAGCTTCAATTGACTGGAGATAAAGTTATCACTAATGGCACCTCAGTAATGACATTTAAGTTATTAAATAATAATACAGTACCTTAATGCAATTAATGTGATCATCTCTACTTAATAAATATAGACTAAAGGAGGCCAAAATATCTCTGGCAAAAAATGCCAAGAAAAGAAATGGTCTATTAGCAATGGTTAACAATCTAATATGAGATACTAATCACAACAATGTTCCTGTCAACATTTGTCTATTTTCATTTACTGACATTTGTGTAGTTTCCAACAATAGATTTTAAACATATCTCAACCACATATATATGTGGATTTATTCAATCTCAATCACATTATTAATTCTGTTGCAATATTAGAACAGTAAATGCAGTACACATATACCCTTAATTACTACATATTAAATTTAGTCCTGATAATCCAAGCATTTTATCACTGTTATTACTGTGTACAGTATGGGTATATAATAATTAATAATAATAAAATTAAAAAAGATATTCACAATTAAATTGTGCAGGTGTTATAATGTTGATTTAGGGATAAAATACATTTGATAAGTTAGAGTAATCTGTATTTGAAAAGCTTCAATGTAATGTGTAAAAGGAAGTGCTCATATTTGAAAGTTCCTGCGGCTAAAAGATCATGAAGCCATTGCATTATAACCAATGTTGAAAAGTTGAAGAAGTGAGCTGCTGAGCATAACAACAAAACCTCAATTCATCACAGCATAGCATTGCATGCATGTACTGAGCCACAAACAACACGTAATGAGTGTTCCCCTATCACCGTTCCTGTAACTTCAGTAACAACTAATATCCAATACTCAAGAGAATGCAATAACAAATTATTTTAAATATATGTAAGTATGTATGCATGTGCATGCATGCATGTAGTCAGTTACAATAAAATATGCTTACCTGACAATTGCATGCTCTAAATATGTATTACTATACATAAACAAGGAAAATGATGCAGAAAAAAATAACATAAAATCATAAACTGTATTACATATACAGTACAGTACAAATAATAATGTTCTTTACATTCAGTCCAGCAGACCGAATAATTATTATCATCATTAAAAGGAATATACTGAGATGAAGAAAAATTATACTGTACTTAAATTGCAATTCCCCCATGAACTGACTTACATTGTATGGGGTTAATATACAAAACAGTACTTATTATGGGCAACTAATTGTATACACAGCTTTCACAGGTAACAAGCTTACTGACTTTTTTTTAATACCAAACACTTAATAATTTAATGCAAACAGCCTCACCTTTCACAAATTAAAACACTGACCGTTAGTGTTCGTTGCATCACTGTACTTCCACTAAAAATCTAAATTTAATCTTTATAATCTGATCATCACAGATTACAAGAATTGGGTTTAATATAGTAAACAGTCTTTAGATCACACACTAGTCTCTATCTACACACCTCACTAACTTGACATTCGTCCAAAAGTCACTCCAGTCAGCATGTGGTAAATACCTCTCAGATTCATCACTTTGCATAAAATGTCAATATATGAGAACATCTGTCCATTCTCTGTATAATACTTACTTCTCCCTCACAACACACCATTCCTAAATCCAGTAACTTCATTCCTCTCTTTTTAAAAAACAAACACACATTTGAAATGTTGTCATTGTAGGTTGTTCCTTATACAATATATTCATGTAACCAAAATGTTAACATTACTTCAATCTTTGTTCACATACAAATAAAGCTTATCAACCCTGTCTTGTAGTATAAGGCATGTGATGTGAACACACAGTTACACTGACTCAAAACCAATCTGAAGTCATTTATATTTCTTACAATTACATTGGCAGTATTTATTCATCACATTAATTTGTGGTTGAAGAACATCGAACAGTCTTAATGATAAAAAAAGTGTATATCTCTTGCAAAATAAAATTGATAAAGGCAAATCCTCTGGTAACACATATAATCTCACATAGTACAAACTGGCCTCTTAGTAATAATGCTTTTAAATTTATTCCTTACTTATCATCAGCCTAATAATCTGTACCTCATTTAATTTGTCATGATATGAATTCAGTAAAGTATTGTATTTAAAATGCAGTTAGAGCAAAATAAGTGAAAATGCATCATTTTAAATTTTCACTTCCATCTAAACTACATTTGTTTCATGTGTATGTTATGATAATAGTAAAGTAATTTAATCTACAAACTAAAAATATTTAAACAAATATCATCCAGAAAACCAAAATAGATACTGTACAGAGGTACTGACATTTTTTCTTTATTAATTAGAGTTTTACTGAAATGTTATTAATGTAGAGGACTTACTTGAGTGAAATGGTGGTCAGAAGTGTGGAAATGTAAGCATTAACCAAGTGGTCTTAACATACAATATATCACATTTAGGTTTATCTCTTATCCATAAATATATCACCACCATCAGTGGCAGTCCTTGCAAAGGTAAAGCCACATAAATTATAAGTAAAATACATATAGCCCCTATAATGACTATACATATTTAGCCACCTACAAAAGCAAGTACAGGTATGTGTTTTTATGTACATATATATAGATGGCTTCCCATGTAGAAGCTCTTTACATAAATATATAGTCATAGTCTACAAGAGATTTGTAATCTTTGTAAAGTACTGTATATAGATTCTTTGAATGAATAATATAATAATATAGCCCTTCAAAATATTTCAATACAGACGGAATGAGGCTTTTATATATATACACACATGCATGCATATACACATGCATGCATATACAAATGAAGGTTTTTCAAAGAATATGTTGCCATGTAACAATACAGCCAAGAGTACATTTTTGTAATGTATTTTTGTTTAATGGTTTTACTAAATGTACAAAAATTACTTAAAGTCCTGTATGCTTTAACAAGTACAAACATATTATATTTGCTGTCAATATTAATTGGTTTGGAAATAAGTCTCGATATGATACTACAATAATTATAATTAGTCATTATAGAATTCAAGCTACACACGAATGATGATGTAAGGAGCAAGTGGCTCTGTACAACATCACATTATCTACATGCTCAACTACTAACATCTGATATACCAAGCTTGGCACCTTTACATTGTGGACAAATTGGCTTGTAAATACTGTATACAAAGACTTGTTACGAGCTCTGATTGTTGGCCCAGAAACCTTGAGTGGAAACCTATAGTCTAACTGCTTGCATTATATGGCACTCTTCAGGGCCATGGTCTGGCACTTCAGCCAGGGTATGGCACTCTTCAGGGCCATGGTCTGGCACTTCAGCCAGGGTATGGCACTCTTTAGGGCCATGGGCTGGTACTTTTCAGGGCCATGGTCTGATATGCTTCAGACCATTATCTGGTACTCTTCAGGGCCATGGTCTAGTACTCTTCAGGGCTATGGTCCAGTACTCTTTAGGGCCATGATCTGGAACTCTTCAGAGCCATGATCTCATACTCCTAAGGGCCATGATCTGTACTTGTCAGGGCCATGTTCTGGCATTTTTCAATGCCATAGTCTGGTGATCTTCAGTGCAATTGTCTGATACTCTTCAGGGTCATGGTTGGGTACTCATCAAGGCCATGGTTTGATACTCATCAGGCCCATGATCTGATACTCTTCAAGGGCCAAAATAGTCTGATACTCTTCATGGTTATGGCCTACTATTCCTTAGGGCCACAGTCTGGTACTCCTCAGTTCCATGACCTGGTACTCTTCATGGCCTTGATCTGGTACTCTTCATGGCCTTGATCTGGTACTCTTCATGGCCTTGATCTGGTACTCTTCATGGCCTTGATCTGGTACTCTTCATGGCCTTGATCTGGTACTCTTCATGGCCATGATCTGGTACTCTTCATAGCCATGGTCTGGTACTCTTCATAGCCATGGTCTGGTACTCTTCATAGCCATGATCTGGTACTCTTCATAGCCATGGTCTGGTACTCTTCATGGCCATGGTCTGGTACTCTTCATAGCCATGGTCTGGTACTCTTCATGGCCATGGTCTGGTACTCTTCATAGCCATGGTCTGGTACTCTTCATGGCCATGGTCTGGTACTCATCATGGCCATGGTCTGGTACTCTTCATAGCCATGGTCTGGTACTCTTCATGGCCATGATCTGGTACTCTTCATAGCCATGGTCTGGTACTGTTCATGGCCATGGTCTGGTACTCTTCATGGCCATGGTCTGGTATTCTTCAGTGCCATGATCTGGTACGCTTCAGGGCCATGATCTGGTACTGTTCATGGCCATGATCTGGTACTCTGCAATGCCTTGATCTGGTACGCTTCAGGGCCACGGTCTGAAATTCTTCACGGCTTTGGTCTAGTATTCTTTAGGGTCATGGTCTAATACTTTTTAGAGCCACGGCCTGATATTCCTCTTGGCTATAGTCTAGTATTCTTTAGGGTCATGGTCTGATACTCTTTAGGGACATGGTCTGATACTCTTCAGAGTGATGTCTAGTACTCTTCAGTCATGGTATGGTACTCTTTGTGGCCATGGTCTGATAATCTTTCTCATCATGGTTTGGTACTCTTCAGGGCTATGGTATGGTACTCTTTGGGGTCATAATCTAGCACTCTTCAGGGCCAAGCTACATGACATGACGGGGATAGACAGTCATACTGTGCACAAATTCTTATTTTTTCTAACCTGAACATGTCATTAAGCATATAAAATTCAACTGTTTCTTGTTATATTCCTCAAATTAAATATTTATCTAGTTTAGCTATTCCACTTTGATACTCCCTAAGATTCATCCTGGTCTCACTGCATTAGATCGTGCCAATCAGGACAGGGTGATAACCGCATTTGCCCAACATGCAGTCCATTTTCTGCTAGTTTTGGGGATTATACTCAATGCCAGCTGCAGGGATTATACATCAATCTTTCTTGGAATGGAGGTACATCCTTATTTGTTAATTTCCTCAGGAGGTTTCTCAGGTTTCAGCCTCATGGAGGCCTTCAACTTTCTCTTTGCAGCTTGAGTTAAGACTTCCTCTTCTGCCTTCACCATGATGACCAAAGTGTTGGTTCTTAGATGTTGGCAAGATCTTACATCTGCTTTCAGCGCATGGTTGTAATCTGAATTGTGCTGAAATGTATATCTTTTCACCTCCACTCCAACCGTGCATCAGTGTACTGTCTCAGCTGAGTGAGGAGTACCAAGTCATTCTTATTGTGACAGTGACTGATGGTCATAGATTATCTGGCTTATCAAAATTTAGTTCTCAAAAGTGGTCCACATCTGTGTGGTATTGAATGTGTTGGCAATCAGCCCCCATAACTTTTGTTCAATGACACCATCAGTGTGTTGCACTTGGATGGCTCTTCAAAATATGATGGTAATTTCTTCTTCAGGCAGAAATCTGGTAGCTATTTGGCAACATCATAGGGTCATGGTTGGGTCCCTGCCCGTAAAGCTTGCCTAGCACAGGTAAGTCATAATTTTTTTTCCTTTCTATTTTTGAGTACTAGTCCGCTCAAGCTCCTGTATACGCCTCTAACGTGATCCTGTAACCAAAACATCGTTGTTTCTTCATTTTCTGATGTGTGGTTTGGTCATCATATCTTCAGCCACGTTATTGTGTCATCTACCGCACTATCTTTTAATCAATCAGAATGTAAGGAAGCTCAATACAAGAAACATGGTTTTTGGTGCAACTGCTAAGTGATGGTAAGCATGAGCATAATAATTTGCAGTCCTTGTGATGTCAAGTAGGGCTGGAAAGAGCTTTGAGTGAACCCTCCAATATCACTCCAGGCTTAATTTACTTCTTATCCAAGTCTTCCTAGCACCAGTATGCCCTGGCAGGACATTTGAAAAGATCCCTGTTGCAACAGTGCAGAATGTTACACTGACATTCCGCATCCAACAGTCTGGTTGATCAGTCCAGCAACCAGGAGGCCTGGTCGACGACCGGGCCGCGGGGACGCTAAGACCCAGAAGCACCTCAAGGTAACCTCAAGGTAGGACATAACTAGCATGATCACAAATTTTTATTTGTATTTTCCTTTTTTTTTTTTTTTGGCAATAAGAAACATCTAAATATCCTGCTCAGAAAATATCTTTCCAAATTTACTAAAAAACCTACTTTAATGAATTTATCATTCTTAACTGGGAAAACTAGCTGGTCAGTTCTTTAATCATTAACATGTTTTACTCAGTAAAGTAAAATTTTAAGTTTTTCATATAATCACTTAAAAATCAGCAACATTAATGAAACTAAATAAATAAAGTTATGATTAATAGTGATAATTCAAATTAATTTTTTTTTTACCTAGGTTAGGAAAGGCAAAGCCATACAAAGTTATGCAAATTTAAATTAGACTAAATTACTAACATAGTATTGATATGAATTTCAAATTGTGTATATTAGGTGTATGCATCTACCAGTATATGCATAAAAGTGAGCTTTCACACTGCTCACTCAGCCAACAATTCCGTAAAACAACCGAGTTCCAATAAGAATTCTACAAAGGCCGTGAGTTCAATCTGTGTAGTAGTATTTGTTTTGTGATACTGTATAGATTCAGCGATGATTTAAAGAGTATGGTAAATAAAATCATGTCTCTGACATATCACAAGCACATCTGAGAATGGGGTAAAACATGGATTGGAGTTGTGATAACATGCAATGCCTTCGTAGAGTACTTTGTTGAGATCCAAGTTCCAATTTTTTTGTAATTGCTATCTGAATGAGCAGTGACATTCACAAGTAATAGGCCACAAGTGTGTGCCAAAATAGTGCTCTTTATAATACTCATTTCAGGACATCATGTGACTTCACTTATATATATAAGTGAAGTCCTGTATATAAAGTGAACCTGTATATAAACTGTATATTTAATTATTTTCTGTGCAACTATACCTCAATGCTTGACAATATACTGTAATTATGCAACATGTAACTGTAAATGTACATTTTAAAATTTGTTTATTTTAAATTTGGCATTTTATAAAACAATTATCCATAGTTTTGTCGATTACTCTAAAGTTTTGTATTTTAGTTATACTGTACTGAGAAATTTTTTTCTTTTAATTACATAATTAGTCAATTAAAACTACAGCTATAAGTGGTGATCAACAAGTATGTGGCTCAACCTATATGATGAAATAAAAGGGCACTGGAAATTATAGTGTATAAATATTTATTCTTTGGATGGTTTTACAATGTACATCAATAATGTTTTCCAAAATAAATTCCACAGCATGGCCTTCAATTGGGGTACCCATAGAATTCCTTCAAAATAGAGACATCTAAGCTGCAAAAAGTGATAAACTACTTCCACAAGAAAGATTTAATTTGCAAGTAAATCTAAGTTCATATAGTAGAACACTGTGGGGCTGTTTCACATCAAGTATTGAAGATGTGCCAAAGTCAACATTACCTGTGAATTAACAACCCCCAAAATGGTGGTCAGAGTGCACGAAGCAATGACGAACGGTAAATGACCATTGGGTCTTGGTTGGCAAGATCAATCCTCAATGAAATATTATACATACTGTATTTTTAACAACGAAGTGTTTTACCAAATCTTGTTACAGATTAAAACACTTCCAGACTGACTAACCTAGTGATTTTTTCCAGCTAGATGTTACTCGGAATTAAACAGTGGGTTACAACTAGAGCAAGCAATGGACAGACATGTGGTCCCCACCACCTTGACAGGTTAAAAATTTATTAGCTGTAGAAGTCATGACTGAAGTGTTTTACAATTCCTTTTTTTTTTGGAACAAAGCCTGCTAGGCTGATTGAGGCCCCCCTTGCTAAGAGTGATGTTGTTTGCATGATCGCTACACAACAGACTGACTTTTAAGGGCTACTATTACCAACTGGAACTCATATTTATTCCCCTCAGCAGAAGGAAGCTCTGCATGAATACAGGTACAGTTAGTGGTGTGGTTATCATACTGTGTTAACAATCTATGGGTCCCAAGTTCAATTTCCATTGATGAGGCCGTGTTGTTTAAAATTCAGTTTCACCTAGATGACAGAGTACAACAGTGTAACCTCAAAAATCAGTTACTAGATACTGTATAATGTATAATGGAAATTTTTTAAATCCAAGAGGATTTGGCTACCAGAAAAATTGATCAAAATCTGAAAAAGAACCTATAATTTTTGTGGATTTTCTTCACACGTTTGGAAATTCCAGACACATTAGGTATCGTTAATAAGCTATATTTAAAAATAAATAAAATAACTATTCAAGTGGTTTTAGCAGTAAATATTGCTCAGAATTATTTTTTGTAAATTATTTACTGTACATTAAAAATTATGCACTACAGTTAGTTGAAGATGAATTTTTTTTTTAATGTGGTTGACCCAGTAATACAGACAGTTCGGACTTGTCCAAGCCATGAACATTTTCCTCTCTGCAGGAGTGATCAACGTTTTTACTCAAAGGATATTTCTCAACATTTCTTTCAATACTACAGTACTTCATTTGTGAGTGGAAAGTGTTTACCAACAAAAGGAAAATGAGGTATTTAAACTTGGATGAAATGCTAAAGCAACGCAGAAAAGTAATCACAGCTGGATAAGTGTGACGTTGGTACTAACACTGTTCCTAAAATAACAAAAAAGTAGAAAGTAAAGATTTTAGAGTTCATTGCCATGTGAGAGAATTCTGGTGGTAAAGGATAAATGTCATCTTCCATTAGGCAATTACAAACATAAAATTTTATTACATACTGTACTTTATATTAGAAAATCCTTGTTTGTATATTATTTGAGTATAAACATGCAAAACTACCAATTCTATAATTTAAGAAAAATGTAAGAAAAATAAGAAATAAAGAGATCGTACAAAATCATGAATTTTGGAAAATCAAGTACAGTATTCTAGGCCGATATTACAAGCAGCCACGTGCTTTCCTGACACAACGTATCCAGATATTCTGGTTTCTCATTTTGGTGACAGTCCAGATAAAGTTACCGATAAAGATATGTGTGTGTGTGTGTGTATACATACATATACAAATATATATATGTATGTATGTATGTATGTATGTATGTACAGTATATATATACCTATATGGTCTGCTGTCTTTTTTTCTGTCAAGTCCCAAGAATGGGTTGACTTACAAGTTGACTGATCCCTGCACTGTGAGTGGGCAACTTCTCCATGCTTGAAATCTAATCTGAAAAATTTAAATAGCAAATACAACTACTGTACTATATTTCCTACAGTGACAGAGTTGGAATTGGCAAAGTATTGTTGATTGTAGATATATCTGACATGGAACTAGTTTTATAGCAAATTGCACTACAGAATGGATTTAGATAAGGAGCTTTACAGAATGGGCATAGCAAAGCTTTAGGATTTGTGGATGAAGTATTTTGCCAGGGGAAAAGAGAGACTACATTTGGGATTAAAATGCTCCTTTGGGATGTGTGTAGTCGTTTTAAGAAAAAGTCTAAAACACCCCATGGACTTGGTGATCACCCCTTATAAGTAAAATAGAGACAATAATGTAGAAAACTTCCTGCATTCGTTTGGACATAATACGCAGGAGAATGTGCCGTAAATAATCTTATCATTACATGCCAGCAGTAGCTACGAGCACTCATATTCCTGACATTATCACACGACGGATTCAGCCGGTATCTGACCTTTCTTATTCTTTTGGAATACATATACAAAAGAACATCTTCATAAAAAATCATGCTCCTTTGAAACAAATCTAATTTCTTGAAACATAAATAGGAATATTTCAGCTCTGGGATCAAGATTTATACTATTTTTTAATAATTTGTACATTTCTATGGTATTTCCTGAGTGAATCTTTTAAAGTATTGCCTTATCTTATAGTCTTAATCTATATTCTTCTGCATTCTACTATTTATAGTGGAATGGTTATGCAATATGCATGAAAATTTAATACAAAGAAAGGCATTTTCTTCTGAGGAGTATAATTATCCCACCTTATTAAAAACCTATAGTATATAATGTATATATCACAATATTGGCATGGTCTTCCAGCACAACAGAAAACCTTTACAGTAAAGGATTGGATATTATAATGATTAAACATGTCAACAGGGAAGAATTAACATAACTGCTCCTTTTCCTGCATAACCACCTATTTCTTTATCTCTTGCCAATTTACCAGATTAATTTTAGGACTTTGATGAGCCCTAAGGAGTGAGAATAATGATATATGATAGTGCACTGGGCACAGAAAGAGGTACAACTGTTAGAATAGTATCCTATATCAAGTGTTTTTATGTGGTTATATAAAAAAGGATTTATATTGAGAAAAAGTTATATATCTATATGTACATTTCACCAGTCATGTCTATGTGCCTTGAATGCACTGAAACATGGATCACAGAATATTTAAGCATTGAAAGACTGAAAATAAAGATGTGCCATATTAACTCCTCAGACAGAAAATCAGATACATTAAAAACAATAAACCTTATTACTGAATATATTATAATTTTTCCCCCTATCTGAATGTAGACTTATGAACAGGAGGTTTAACATTCCAAATTAAATTTTATAAATACACAAAATGGTTAAAATATGGCATGGAAAAGTTCACTGTCATCTGTCAGTTGAATTTTGCTTTCTGCAATGACTATAATTTCCTTTAATAAATTTTCTCAAAATTAAGCAACATGCAGAATTAGTTTGATTTTGGGGCCAAGAATTAACAGCCACCTATACTATTAATAGAAAATTGGTTGAAGTACCTTTCATTTAGAATATATTAGGAACCGCTTGTGGGGACTGTATACTCCATCTTTGTAGCACATGTCTAACCAAATTGTGCAAACATTAAAAAAACACATTTGATTACTCTGAAGAACTAAATATAAGTAATGAGTAAAGAATGTCACTTAAGATTGAAGTGAATTCATCAAATTCAAAAAAGAAGAAAAATTACCGTATGACTAGTTGGTCTGGACCAAGATTTTAATTACCTCATAAACTAACATAAATATTTAACAATATTAAGGCTTATTAAAACCTTCATCAAGAGATCAGAAACTTTGTAGAATTAATTTCTAATGCCATGTAAGTTGAACAGTTTTCAAAAGTTTTTAAAAATGTTAAAACTTGACTCTAGCATAACAATTTGTGAATAAATTGTTAATACAAGCTTAGTTAGTATTCTGTCACTGAAGTTCAGTTCAAATCACTGTTCCATAATCTATACTTTTGAAAGTGATACACCTTAGATAACAGAAGAACACTAATATTGGCTAATTAATTTACTATGTGCATCTCTCTCTCCTCTCTCAAACTATCTTGTTATAATGCTATGTATGTATATCATTACCATTGCATTGTCATTACATAACACATTTCCCTTATCTAAAAATACATAAAAGGAGATTCTGGTTTGCACAACCATGCCACCAATATATAATCTGTAACACATGCTGCCAGAACATATCTATGGCAATGGTACCAAAAAGCGACAGTATTTGTAAATAATCCACTCAGGGATTTCAAATATCACACTTGTGTTGTCTTACTTGATGGAAGTAACTAGCAGTTCAGCACTGATGAAGCATGATGGCCCTAAGAGCATACAACAGTTCCGATTGCAGACGTGCTTCCATCACTACTACGCTTGTCTCTACCTGGAAAAATCAAATTGTGTCTTCAATTTTTATGCGGGAATTATTAATTTTGATAAAAAGACAAAATTTTAAAATTAAGGTATATTCAAAATATTTTAACAAAACTAACATTACTCTGAATGAATAATTTAGGTCACTGTTCACACTAGAAAAATTAAACAAAATTTCAATATCAACATAGATGTTTGATGTAGAAGAGTATGAGTTAAGAGATAGAGCATTGACAAATTAAAGGAATCTACAGTACCATGTGTTGGTGGAATTCAATCCAAAATCATCAAGGAACTGGCTGCTGAATTTCCCAGAAGAGTGGACTGATTATGGGTTTCTCTCAATTTCACTTATGGACTTTTGCTCCATTTGAAGCAAAACACAAATAGCTTTAATTTTCCTACATGGCCTTACTTGATGTTCTCATGAGAGAATGGGGGAATTTCTGTAGTTTTGTAGCACAAAATTTCATAAAAGATGTTGACCAGACCACACACTAGAAGTTTGACGGACCGAAACGTCGTCGTCCCTTCAACTTCTAGTGTGTGGTCTGGTCAACATACTTCAGCCACGTTATTGTGACTCATCGCCTTCATAAAATACTTACCGCTTTAAAATTAATACTGTTTGTGGACACTGTGTTTGAGCTGGTATCACCAAGACTCTCAGGGTAGCAACAAGCTGCCTTAACGAATGCCTTAACTTGAGGATCCAAATGTTTGTTCAGCTCAGCATAATTGCAGTCATCATGGTGAATACCCAACAGCCACTGTTGAAGAAAAATCAAAGAATGTACAATATTGTAGAGTAGGCAGGAGAATGCAGCCATTTCTATGGCACGTGGTGAATTTTATAATGAGAGTCTGGTGCTCCACAAATTTGTTTCGTAATTTCAGATGGATACTCAGGTGTTTCTCTCACATTGCTCCTTTGAAACTCTGCATAAGTAACATACAAACTTGCAGCTAGTTGTTTCACGTTCTGTAACAAATTTGTGATACACTAGAGGCCCTCTCCACTCTAACAAAATAGAAATCATGGCAGTAGCAATGATGATGATGACTAGAAGTAATACTTAGAATGCAATTAACACCCTGAAGCTCAAAAATAAAATTTTAATTGCATTTAAAACATTCACAATACACTGTAAATGTAGCAATATAATCCGTACTGATGACCAAACCACACATCAGAAGATGGAAAAACAACAACTGTTTTGGTCCATCATGGACCAATATCAAGTCACATACAGTAACTTTATAATGGTCCTGGATGGACCGAAACATCGTCATTTCTCCATCTTTTGAGGTGCGGTTTGGTCATCGTATCCTCAGCCGCATAATTGTGACTCATCGTCTGCATAATCTGTTCTTTCTCCTGTCACCCTGATAGATATGTAAAGCAGCTCAGTAGTTTATTATAAATATTACTGCCAATGTTTTACAACTTACTACATTTTAATAATTATATATTTCCTTCCCTGCTTTAAAATACTCTAAATATAAATATTAGTCACATGTTTAATTCATTATAAATTAAATTTATGATGTGCAGATGACAAAAAGATTTGTCACTGTACTGTAGTTCAGTGGTTATAGACACGACTAGATCACCTGCAGCGATAATAAAGTGGCACTAGCCTGTCAAGTGTTTCTTTCCACTGGCAAAGTCATTAAGCAATTGATCAACCAAATAAGAAAGAGCAGACAGCATTATTATAGTGGAAGTGCTATTTGTAGAATGCCATAAAAGCCTAATGGTTTGTTTATCAGCCTGGCTTAACTTAGATGCAGTACTTGCATGTGTTCAGTGTATTACACTTACACTCTTACACACAATTGCTTAATTCAACAGTGAGGAGATAGGCAGAAAGGAACTTTGAGAAAGGCATAGTAGACAAATGTAAAACTGACTCAGGCCTTTTCTATAAATTTATTAAAAGCAAGCTTCATGTAAAGGATAAAATCCAGAGATTGAGAATGGGGAACAGGACTACTGAGAATGAAAAAGAAATGTGTGAAATGCTAAATGAACAGTTCCAAAGTGTATTTGTACAAAATGAGGATTTTTAATTATATGAAAGGTGAAATACTAAAGAAACTGTTCATGACTTTTGTGAGACCAAACTGGAACATGCAGCAGTTGTATGGTGTCCAAATCTCAAGAAGCACATAAAGAAACTGGAAAAGTTGCAGCGGCATGCTACAAAATGACTTCCAGAACTAAAAACAAAAGTTACGAGAAGAAACTACAGACAGTAAACATGCCTAAACTAGAAGATAGAAGAAAAAGAGGTGATATGATCACCACATTCAAAATTCTAACAGGAATCGACCAAATTGACAAGGAGGAATTCCTGAAACCAACAACATCAGGACCAAAAGGACACTGTTTCAAGCTAAGGAAACATAGGTGCCGAAAAAACATTAGAAAGTTTTCTTTTGCTACCAGAGTGGTAGATGGTTGGAACAAGCTAAGTGAGAAGGTGGTGGAGGCCAAAACCATCAGTAGTTTCAAAGTGTTATACGACAAAGAGTACTGGGAAGATGGGACACCACGAGCTTAGCTTTCATCCTGTAACTACACTCAGGTAATTATGCACTACTAGTATATCATTCCTACACATTACCTGGACATAATTCCATAGTGCTTTTGTTGGCAGAGGCATGGACTTGGAGAGTGTTTTATCACACTGAGCTTGGCCTGATGCTGAGTTGGTTTGTTGAGACACAGTGCCTGTAGCAGAAAGCTGTTTTTGTGGAAGAGAATATGTTGGTGACAGGGCTGATGTGAAACGTTCATCTAGAAAGGCTCCAACTTCTCCCAAAAGCCGTGAGCACATTGCATATCCATGATCTTGCCAATTGTACTCCTGTAATAAAAAAAAAAATTAAATATTTTATTATTACATATCAGGCACATAAACATATCAAATTGTGAAAGCTACTATAATTATACAGTATAGTACTACAATTTTAAAACACATGTTACCACAAGAATGATATAAGTAAGTGCCGATAATCTTGTTAACACTAAGATGGGATAACGCAGCAACAGACATGCAAATGGCTACACACATGCAACTGGTTACATATGTACTTGGCTAAATACATACCTGGCTACAATATTCCTGATATACCTAACATTTATAGCCACATGTCACTTCTTTATGCAAAGACATCACAAAATGAAAGTGTAAATGGAGCATAAAAATACAGATGTCCAGTCTGTGAAGATAACTAAAATTTGTTAGTCACTTCTTAGTTAGTCAAGCTTAGCGATTAAGTTTCTTACTTAGGAAGAATCATATGATAATAAGTTTGCAATAGAAATGAACTAATCAAGCTACAGGTGAATTTTGAGGAAGGGTTAAAGAATGGAGTAATAAAACAGAGAAGCAGTTATGAACTACAGTCACCTACAATACACACAGAAATCACAATAGCGTGATACATCAAATGAACAAATCCACAAGAGCTGTGATGAAGGTTGGAACCTATGTCTTGGATTATCCCAAACTCACCTTAGTCGACTGCATCACGACATAGTTAAAAGAATTGGAACCAGGAGTGCTACTGCCCAAAGAAGTACTGATGGGCCAAAACTTGGAGTCTTGGCTCATGAAGTTGAATGTAATTCTTGTAATATGTCAAGGTATTGAGCAAAGAATGCCACATAAGTGAGGGGGGAAAAAGAGATTTAATATCAAGATTTGTTCTTGATAACTACTGTACAGTACAGTACTCTATATCAAGCAGTTAATTTACTTAGTGACATACAAAATTTTTACCATACTTACATGAACTGAAAAAGATGGTATGCGGGATTCATCATTGCCATTAAAGTCTTCATAGGCTAAAGTTGGGTTTACTGTAAGGTGAGCATATGCCCGTACGCCATGTCTAATACCATCCACAGTGGTAGACTTCTTAGCCTCTGACCTGCAGATCAAATTAGCCCCTTATGTGTAACATTTTGAAACAAAAAATTATCAGTCACCTTATGCTAAGTTCAACTATAAGTTGTGAGTTATGTTTCTGTCAGTCAATGATTAACACTGTATTCATATCAATAAAAAATAAAGTTAAGTAAACACAAATGCAATAGGGATCTGTCCAGTAGACCTATCTGTAGTAAAATAATTATTATTTGTTTATAATGTATTCACAAAACTATTTAACATCACATATAAACATTTACAAAAATATACTCATACAATACAATAGAGTAAAAAAATCCTGCTGCCTTCAAAATTATGAGAAGAGTAAAGTCTCACCTTGCATTCAATTTGCCATTTATATTGACATTGGTATTATTGGAAGTTTCTGGGCATCCTTGTCTGTTTTGTAGACCCCCTATGACTGGCTTACCATTACTTGCTTTGTCTCTGTCATCTGCCTGCCCTGAAGGAAAACAAAATGCTGCAAATAAATAATCTGGATTATATTTAGAAAATACAAATACTCACTGATCTCTTTCTTTTTCTTTCTAATACAAAAAAGTTTATTATTATTGAGTTACTAATATCTACCTTCATCTTTCTTGGAAGATCTGGGGATCTTGGACAGCCCACAACCATGAAGAAAAGTTGCCAGGGCATGGAAATGTGTCATGATGCACAAAGCTTGGCAAAGCTCACCTAGTGACCAGCTCTCTTCACCCTTTGTTAGTTCCTGAAATGGGAAGGAATAAATTAATAAATAAATAAAAATTTGATTCATGGGACAGAGATGGTTGGGCACATTTCTTTTCGCCTAATGCCTTTGTTCATCCAGCAGCAAGTAGGTACCTGGGAATTAGGTAACTGATAAGGGGTTGCATCCTAAGGAGGGTCAGCAGTTCAACCTTGGGAGGACCTCAAAACAACTCTCAAGTTTATATACTGTATACATAAGTTTCCTGTCCCAAACAAAAGAGATTATTATATATATAGGTACCACCTCTGGTTGGAAACAGGCTTGCCATGGCTCCTACTGATTTTCTCACAGATACATCACAATAATGTAATTTTTGTGTGCATTTGAAGATAAGCATGGGGGGGGGGAGGTAGAATGCCTTCACCACACCAGAGTGTATGCAGGTATTGTGTGAAACCTTGACTTGATATACAGGTGGATGCCTAAAGTATCTTAGAGGATTTAGTTGAATCCTAAGTCACATTAATTTTTAGCATAACATGATTCAGTAGTTTAAGGTGTGTGCTTGTGAGGACCCAGTGCTTAGGTTTAAATTCTCCTCATGGCTCCTACTGATTTTCTTATTATTAATATACTAGTAATAATAATAATACTTAAAACAAAATTTGTCTAGTTTGTACTCCTTTTTGACATGTTCCAAGTTTCAGAACCCCTGTTTACATCCCAACCCTTGTTTATGAAAGCCTTAATCATATTCTCCCTTCTCTTGCAAGTACCGTTTGGGACATTTCAATCTGTTTTTGTAGGAAAAGGGTGATATTCCTGTTTCTATTGCTGACACATCTTATTATGTTTTACAACTTACTTTTTCAGCCTAAGGTTGATCCTAACCATGGCTCCAAAGTTTCTCTCACAATTTGATCTACCCATGACTTTTAAAAAATCTCAGGTATGTACAGTACTCTAATTCCAAATTTTATTCAAGTTGAGCAGTCAAAAACTTGAACTTGAATTTTATTCGGATTACCCAAAGATTCAGGTTACCGGAATTTGGATTTCAGAGCTCTTACAGTACTGTACTCATTAGTGGTCCATTAAGTGCCTCCTTGCATGCTTTTAAGACTCTGCCAATAACAGTACTATACCTCAGCAGGATCAGGAGAATTAGATTTTATCTAGTACATTATCATGTACCATTTCCTATTTGCTATGTTTAGCTTGCAATGTTTATGTATTTAATGGTGAAATAAATTTTTATTTGGAAAAGTTTGTTGTATTTAAAAAATTAATTAGTCATCCACTTTTAAATTTTATTCTGCATAATCATAAATTTTAAGGTTTAAATCTAAGGCCCATGCTAAGTGAAAATTAAGCAGTTTATTATCTCCTGACTGATCTAATATAACATATCTAGTACTAACCTGAATATGCTTTGGCATAAGAAGCCAAGGGCGATGAGCCAATAGATTGTTGATAGGAACAAGTGCATAAAGCTTTGGTGGGGCATGATGTAGTCCTGCAATCCAACGAATATCTCCTCCAGCATTACTGAAGTCTGTGAGCAGTGCCTTCATCAGCCATTCAACTTCATGTCGACACATAGCCTACCAATATTTTGCGTAATTAGTGTAACTTAAGAAATTGTATATTTTTGTATCAGTCAATCAAGGATATTTTTGTCTAATATAGACATAAAGCAGTCACTCGAGATGCACAAAAAAAGTATCATACAAATATAAACTGTGTTTATTAATTAATTTTTTATTTATATATATACAGTAGGAGGTACAATGGGTTGTGTAAGTACTTATGTTAATGCAAGAGAATGTGTGGAGTGAGTCTATGTTTAGCATGTTCTGAGATCTGAACAGAGGGACTGAGTGTTGTCTGAAGATGAAATTTATTAGGTCTGAAGCTGATTTTTTATGAGTTTTCATAGGCTTGGGGTAGTTTGCAGTGGTTAAATCCCCATGCACAGATATCAAAAGTTAGATAGGGTTAGATTAGAGTAGTATAGTGTGAGAACAGCAGAGTGGGGGTCCACTGTATCTGATTTTTTAGAGTATACCAACAGTTTTAAGTCTTTTCAGAGGTCAATGAGAAGGCCAAATGGGAACTCATTTTTGTCAAAGGGTTTGTAGATTATTAAGTCAAGCAAACTAATATTGGTATCATTGGTACTCTATTGGGATCTGAAGCCAAACTGGCTGGAACTTAGTATGTTGAATTTTACAAGGGAGGAGTAATGCCATTTGTATATAATTTTGTCAAATATTTTTATAAAATGTCTAAGTTTGATATAGGTCTGTAATAGTATATGTCAGCTGTATCACCTCATTTTTTAACTGGAGTTACCCTTGCTTTGTTAGTACTGTATATCAGGAAAAGTTTGAGACTCAAGAGAGTTGTTGACAAGTAGAGCTATGGTCAGTTAGCACTTTTGTATACTGTATCATAATTGGTATTTCACCAATGTTACCAAATTTATTTTTAAGTGAGTGAATTGTGGTTATAATGTTTGGCAAGCTGATTGGCAAAAGGATTAGTGTGTGTGTGTGCTGGTGAGATATGCAACAACATTTATCTGTGTCTGTGGAATATTCCTAGGAAGGCTAACATCAATTGATGAAAAGAACCAATTAAATTAGTTACAGTTTATAAATCTGTTACCAGTTTACAGTACTGTATTACCATCTTTGGAGAATTTAATCTGTTATGTGAGTGTTGTTTGGATCTTATGATATTTGATTCCATTAATACTGAATTCACGTTCATCACTTTCCAGTGAAGAAACCTAGGGAAGTAGCCAGCCATCGTTCACCAATTTTGTTGGGGAAGGGGTTATTATTGGGCTTTACCCCCTCTTAATAGTACCAACAGAACCAATCCCATCCAGCCTACATTCATCCCATACCCCTGACTATTAACCCTACAAATTTGGGTGAGGCAAATCCCAAAGAATCTAGCCTCCAACCTCAAACAGACAGACGAACAGATATTCTCTCTAATACTGTATATACTAGAGGTGTAGCTAGCTGTACCTGGGGTTTCTCACTCCCCACTTCCCCTCTCTCTCATTTATGTTTCCCTATCCCATTTCTCTTCCCATCTCTCCCCCTCTTCAATTTTCTCCCCCAAGATCCCCCCTCCCTCTCTCTCTCCCCCAAATTCGCACTTTTTTTTTTTACCTTTCTCCCCCAAATTTCCCTCTCCCACTATCTCACCTCGTCCCCAACTGTCTCTTCCTCTTACCTCCCCTCTCTCACAATATCACCCCTCTTCTTCCAACTATATCCCTCCACCCTCTCCTCTCTTTTTCAGAAAATATAATACTGTAGTTAATTCACATTTATCGTTTCTAGTGAAGAAATCTAGGGACTCGTGTCAACACCTTTCACTGATTATGTTTGGGTGGGGGGGGGGGGGTCACTGTTTAGTCCGATCCCCTCTTAACTAGACCAATTGGTCCGGCCCCGACCTGCTTATGTCCTTCCCGTCCCCCAAACCACTCTCCTTGCAAAAGTTAGGTGATGTTAGTCTAAGTGTTTGGCCTCCACATTTGGACATACAGACAAGATATTCTCTTTTATAGTGCGTGACCCTCGTTTAAGTTTCAAAGGAGTGTGAGAGAGACGGAGGGAGAATGTTATGTATGTGTTGAGAGGTGACGACGTACCAGGGCAGCAATATAGAGTCGCCAGGTGTGTGGGAGGGGACCGTCGCCGTGGAGGAGGTGGGCATGGCTCCGGTACCAGGTGTCACCGTAGTCACCCAGGCCTCCCAGCACGCCCACCACCTTCTCCGCCCACCACCCATTCTCTTCCTCCTCCTCCTCGCTGCCTTCGTCTTCACTTTTCTCTTCGCCTTCCTCTCTTCTCTGTAAAAACACACGACAATATGCTTCATTGACTGTTCGCTGCACATGAACCTGTAATTACTCAATTGCTTCAACTTGTGAATCAAGAGGATTAACCTGTCTTTTCATCAATTCAAACTTGGGGACAAACCAGGGTACCTACCTCCTGGGGACTGAGTAGCTACGTACCTGCTGAAGGTCAGACTGTTTGGTCTGAAGCGGGTGGTGTAGCTGCTGCCTTGGCCCCTGCTTTCCTTGTCCCAAGACTCTCCCACCCTGTCCATGTTGTTGCTGCTGTTGCTGCTGCTGGTTGTGCTGGTGCTGCTGAGGCATGTGCAAATGCCCTTGCTGCGCCTGGCTCAGCTGCGCATGCTGTGCTTGCTGAGCACCTACAGTCACAGCAGTAGTTGGGGTTGCTTTGCTGACTTGAGTTTCAATTGCTGCCACCTGTAATGTGATAACTGTTGTGTAACCGCTCAATGAGTGCCGCTCTAGTGCCAGAATGAGGCACTTTACTCAAGCCTTGTATTGCATCACAACATACAAAGTTATACGGTATCACTCAAATTTATTTATTTATTTATATGGTAAATGATCAGCGAAATCTAAGGTAAAGCAAAGTAAAAAATTACTGCATAAAAATACAACAAAATATCAAATAAATACAGGATATCTAGACCTACGAAGAAATACCCAGTCTAAAATTACACAAAAATGCTTAAGTTTGCCCTTAAATTTAAGAAGCTTTGCGTAAGGTGGGGGACGTCTCTTAGACACCACCATCACCAAGACGGCTCTAGACACCACCATCACCAAGATGTATCCAGACATCACCGTCAGAAAGCTGTCTTTAGACACCACTGTCACTAAGGAGGGCATTAACGGGGTGAGTGGAGGGTTAGACAGATTGATTGATAAAGATTAAGCCACCCAAAACGTGGCACGGGCATGAATATCCCGTAAGAGGGTAGACAGGGAAAATGGAATGGAATGGAAAAAGGTATTGTGGTATGGTGTGGTGTGTGGTGGTATGATAAGGCAGTGTTGTGATTGAGAGTGGTGGTGGCAGTAGTGGTTGTTGTAGTGGTGGTAAAAGTGGGAGGCGATAGTGACAATAGTGGTGGTGAAGGTAGGTGGTGGTAGTGGTGTAAATGATAAGAGGTAATTGTAAGTGGTGGTGGTGAAAGCGGTGTAAGTAAGAATGACAGTAGTGATATTAGGCAACTGTATTGGGCGGAGGGAGGGAGGGACTGGGGAATAGGTTTGCCTATCAAACATCAGTCTTTGCATTACTGTACAAGGGGGCTATAAAGGTTAGTGTGTGTAGGCCAGACCACATTCCATTCACTAGGACCATAGAAGCCTCGAACTGTAGACAACACAAGAAGCAGTATCCCACAGCTCTACCAACTGAGCCACCAGTAATAGGAAGGATTCCAACCTCAGATAGTCTCAGACGCCTAAACTGGAACGTTAGGCCTTTCCTGGGGGTTACGTCAGCAGGTTTTACCTGAATTTACCCGAGAGCCACTAACACACTAGTGGTCTCGATGAGGTCAGGAAGCCAGCGGCTTGTCAAAGGCCCCCGCATTCTGTCCAGGATTGACGAAGCATACTATACATGAGCAGGTAGTGTAGATATTCAGATGCACTATGAGGCATGCATATTCTGGGCCGCAGTGGTCTTCCTGAACAACATTTTACAGTAATCAATGTATTGATTATATGGTCGACGTTCGGATATTCGCTGACGGTAAAATCTTTACCTTCAGATTACTATAATGGGGGGAAATGGTGGCTAATGTTGTTAGCTAATAAAATTATAATATTATAATGGGAGTGAAGTATTTAAACAAGCAAGATGAAAGCTTAAGCAGTCTTCCCCTACCTTCAGGGGAAGGTATAGCCTCTCAGCGATACAAGTAACCTGGCCCAAACCCAGTGGTGGTAATGTCTAACATTTTTACAGATTCAGTTAGTTCAATATCTCGAATACTGGACACGTTTTACTTTTTAGTTTAGTCAGTTTTCTACAAAAGACATGAGTATTCACTTATAATGCTAACCAGTGTACATACACATTCTTCTGCTCCATGGACAGGCTTAAATAATTGTTCTACTACATATAATGCGATGGGTTATTCAACACTCAATCATCATGAAATGTAATCGAAGTGATTTTACGATGTCGAATTAATATTTTAAATAGGTGTGTGAGCACTTCAGGTGAGCCACTTCGAACGTCATCTGTTGTGAGTCTGTCTTAAGATTTTCTTCATTCATAAACGAGGGGTTTGGCGGCTGGAGCATTTGGTCTTCCTGGTGAAGACTATAGTTAGATGGAACGCGGAGTGTTGTCAAACTAGACAAGGCAATTCAACAGAGCTCGGTCTCAGCTTTGTCTTACACCCGTATATATTGTTAGGTTAGGATGTATTTGCTGGCTGTGTTAGGCGTGTCGGATTAGGTTGGGTAAGGTTAGGTAGAGTTTAAAAAATCCATTGTCGAACCGTCTTGTCTAGTCACCCACGCATGGTACCCGCGCCAGGCCTCGCTCGCCGCTTGCCCACCCACTCCTCTCGAGCATTCACAACGTCACTAAAATGATGTACTCAATTTAAATTGCCCGAACCTAACCTAACCGAGAACCCACGAATAGAAAACGGTAAATCACGTCAATTTTGAGAGTCGCTATTATTTTTAGTACATCTTACTTTGATGCTGGGGATTTTAACGTTAAAACGCGATGTGTTCTGCGAGCGGACAAGTGTAACGGCTCAAGAGAGAGGAGGGATGAACACCTAATACAAATGAATCAGCGAGGCGGGTAAGAAAGGGAGACACCAGACTTGTGTCAGGCTGGGCGGGCAGCAGGTGGCCGCCCAGCCTGACTCACACCACCCGTGGTATAAAAAACAACACCAGTGGAACATTTCCGCTTGGGGCTGTGTACACATACAACCACATATATATTCACTTCATTCTCTCCCACCTACATTCTCATCCAAGATCTTAACCCATTCATCAACCTCAAAACTCTTCCACAAGTAATTAATGTCCACCATATTACCAGGAGCATTTTGATCAAGAGGGCTAGATAATCCGGGTATTGGTTATCTCGTTATGAACTATTGACTACCAGGGGCAGGGGGCGTGGTGTGGAGGCGGCGTGGCGAGGCAGTGGTTGGCTAGTTAGTATGTGAGGCAGGAGATAAACAACTCTCCTAACTTGGACTAACCTCCTAACTCTCCTAACCTTCAGCAGCAACCTCCTCAAAATTACCAACCAGCTCACTCTTAACATGATGAGTGCCGCCTTAACAACTGACCCGCCATAACCGGTTCCTGCCCACTGCTGCTCCTCGCTCGTGGTGGTGGAGGCAGGAGCATGCTGGGCCACCTGGGAGGCAGGAGTATGCTGGGCCACCTGGGAGGCAGGAGTATGCTGGGCCACCTGCGAGGCAGGAGTATGCTGGGCCACCTGGGAGGCAAGAGTATGCTGGGCCACCTGGGAGGCAGGAGTATGCTGGGCCACCTGGGAGGCAGGAGTATGCTGGGCCACCTGGGAGGCAGGAGTATGCTGGGCCACCTGCGAGGCAGGAGTATGCTGGGCCACCTGCGAGGCAGGAGTATGCTGGGCCACCTGCGAGGCAGGAGTATGCTGGGCCACCTGGGAGGCGGGATATACTGGGGCCGGGTAAGGACAGAGACGCCAGTCAGCCAGCCTAGCACAACAAGACACTCATGGCACGCAAGCAACTGATTGATCGATTGACTTGATAATTTTTATGGCGCCATAGCAACGAAGTCGTCGACGCCGAATCAAATAATAAATTCCAATGATACAATATAATATTAAGAAACTCAGTATTTAAACCTCAAGTTGGTTTAGATTCGACCAAATGTAAACTCAAATAATTAAAGAATGACAAGTCTAGCACTGATTTTCAATATCGAAATGTTTCATCCAAAAAAAGACATATTACAGGGTAAACAAAATATTTAGCAAGTGTCTCAAGTCTGTCTTCTTCCTTCAGGTAGTGAATATATATCCCTGACCTTATTTTGACTCGGCCCATTACATGATGGGTATGGGGTGTATATATAAATCTTCCACTACAGCCCACAGGGTGTGTATAGGGGGCTTGTGGATGTTGGATGAGTTTTATATGTAATGCTTCAGCTATGCCTATTCTTCAATTGTCGTTGTATGTAAATTATTTTGGTATTGCTGGTCAAAATATTTCTGGTGATGGTGTGGTTGTGTGAGCAATATAAGTAATCATAAGCAATATAAGTAATACATAAGTAATCATTTAAATGTAGCGTGCCTCGTGGCTGCCAGGCCAGCAAGCAAAGCCAAGTGTTTGGTTGAGAATCCGTCAAGAAGAGTAATGCTCACCACAATCTAGCTGACACTACACTGGTCTGCAGCCAACCTGCCAACACAGCAACTCGGCCAACACTCATATTAACTACCACTACATGATGAAGTCCAGGCGGGAACGTGAAGGCATCTCCGCACTACACATGTTTTTCGCGCCACTGTTTGCCTGAAGTACTGTTCTTTGAAGAACCAAGAACATAATTATTCCTTGGCTTGAGTACGCTCTGGCCAGTGTGCACTTGGTGTCGAAGATAGACGACCTAGGCTACACCTGAAATAAGACTCCTTGATCTAAACTTGGTGCAATCGAGACGACAATGTAATTAATATTTCTTAAATATTCAGGTTAGATGGTTAGACAACCGTTTTCCTCAAGGGTCAAGCCTGGCCCCGGGCCAGACTTGGGGAATAGAACAGCCTGAAATTCATCCAGGCACAGGTAATTTCAAAAAAAGATCTGACAATTTTTTGAGTGAATGACTGTTGTGCCAACACCAAGGTGAGGCTTCTCTGGTGGCCAGTTAGGTCCACACTGGTGGCCGCTTATCAGATACCCGTGTCGGAACTTGTTGATTTCCTTCTTAGTGATTTATAGGTTCGCGGAAAGATCTCTTATATTTGCTGGTAAAAGGTTAAAAGTCGTGGACTTGGGATGTTGAGTCTGTTCTCTAATTGTCATTATTGCACCCTTACTATCCCTTGAGATTATTCTCCACCTCCTGTACCTCACACTCTTAGAAGTTATTTTAGCGAACATATTAAAATGACCTACTGGAGTCAGGGATACTGCAGAATATCGATTTCTTAGAAGTGAATGTTCATCGATTTACTAGCATCAATTTATGGACCCCCACAGGAGGCCTGGTCGACGACCGGGCCGCGGGGACGCTAAGCTCCGGAAGCACCTCAATGTAACCAAGGTAACCACCTGATTCATGGAATATAATTCAGGAAGAGGTAAATAATAGGAATTCTGTTAAGGCAACCTGTCCTTTTACAAAAAAGTCGTATTTCGATCATATAAGTTACATAAGGCCAAAAATAATCGCACTTGGAAATG